TGGGTATCTACCCTTGGCCCTAGTCATAATTATGGTCCATAATTATGCCTTTATTTTCTTGCATTTGGTCTCTCTCCATGGAATCCTTCCACTCCATCTGTAAACATGCTCAGAATCCCTCTTTGTTCTTAAAAGCACTGTCCCCTCCAGCTACTATTTTGCCTCCGTAACAGTACTATTAAACTTCTTGAAAGTATGGTGACCTAGCCCCAGTTTCATGTTGTGACCAGCTGTTAATTATTATAAAATTGTTGAAAGAAGAATTCAGAATTCCCAACAGTTAAACCCCTGATCATTTCTTCCTGGTAGAGATAAGACATGACCCAACTCTGGGCAGCGAGGAGGTCCCGGGCCTCTGAAGCCTGGTCTCTGGAGTTTGCTGCCACTTGCCGACCGCAGCCCTGTGGGCTGCCCTCCGTGTGGGGGGAATTTAGCATATTCAGAATATGTCAACGATGACTATAACAAAGTGGTTTTAAGAAATCGGAAATTTACATAGCTATTCAGTTGGAAAAATTATAAAATCGGTGAATGCCCTGAGGAGAGCATAAATAAAGGCGCTTTTGTCCTTTAACCTCTGAATTTGTTCCTGAGAGTTTTCTGAGTAATAAGGGGTAGGAGAATTTCCATCCTCTCCAGTATACATTCCATTTGCTTAAAACCTGCAGATTCAGTCCTGAGTGAAGCTTAGAACTCTTGTGGGTCCAGAGAAGGTGGCGAGAAGCTGTTCAGTTTATTATAACCTGTTTAATTTGTTCCAGGAATTAGATAGTAAATCAGTACTTACCAAGTACACACCATAGATGGAGGCAGGATAGTTGTACAGAATGGTTTATAATGCGTCTGGGTATTTGTGTTTAAAGTCAGAAAAAGAAAATATACGTGGATCATACTGGAGCAGGCCAAACATTTTTCTATAGAATCCCTGGAAACCTACCCTGTAAAACCCCTGTAGAAAAAAGGACATATATGCCAGCTCATTGTGTAACGTAACATTGCATCCTCCAGCCTACTGGGGGCTGGGAGGCAGCCTCAGCCTTCCCAGCAGCTGAGAGGTGCCCCCCACACCAGAGGCCTTTCGAGGAACTGAAAGATGACTGTGAAGATGCAGATGGGTTTAGTGAACATATTGCAATTTTATTCTCTGTTGTGTAGGCAAAGGAAACTATACTCCTATCTGACTTGCTAGACTAACATTTCTCAATAGCAACTTTGTTTACTGAGAAATTGTATGTAGAAATTATACTGTGGACAGTTGAATCAATCAGCAGTAGAAGTGTGTGACATGCTATATATAATATGCCCAAGGCAGATAGAAAGAAGTGTAAAATGTGGTTTCTGCCTTTGGAGAAATTTACAGCTAAAATGAGGCTGTATTTACACCCGCCCACCTCCCTGTCTCTTATCAAATTACCAACCTTCCTTGGTTCCATAACAATAAGTAGTGTGACATGGTTGAATGTTGAGAAAGTTATGTGTTAAAAAATCTTGTCTTATCACCAACCACCCAAAGGTTCAGATTTGTGTGCCTTGTGCCATCCAGGAGGAGAGAAGGCAGCATTTGCACCACTGTTCTTTATTAATTCTTTCCTATGAGAGGGTCGTCCCCCTCCCTCCCCGCCCCCCCCAGGGAATTGCATGGCCTGTTATTGTACAGTCACCAGTTTTATTTTTTTTATCTCAGCCACCACGTGTGGAGAATTTATTGGTTCTCCATCTGCAATGAAGCTACATCCTTTAACCTAATATCACAATAGAGAAATAACCTCTAAATGGTTTAGCCTGCATATAACTCTGATTGCCTTTTAATTAGGGGGAAAATCACAAGCTGAAAAGAGCAACAGACTGGAAGCCAGTTAAAAATCAGAATAATCAACTGAGAAAAAAGAAAACGTAATCTCATAACATTTAATGTTTAACCACAGGATAATAGTTTCTTTATTCCTTAAATAACTTTTTCTGCACCCCTGCCCACCCCCTCTGTTTCTCAGATTGGAACTCTAACATTAGAATTAGAATTGCCAAGTATCTGTGAAATGAAAGACTGTCCCTGTACCCCTCCCGTCCCCCATAAGAGCTTAGAGCAAATAAAACTGAGAAAGTCACAGTTCAGCCCAAGAATTAGGTTTGTATGGCCCTGATGTAGGACTATCTGAGAGTGGGCTCACAGGCAGATTGGGGAAGAATTAGGCCAAACCAGAGTGTAAACCTTTTAGTAATGTTTCCGTAGACATAGATAATAATTTGGCATATTACAAACCGCTGGCATTCAATTTTTACAAACTTTAAAAACAGGAAAACTTCAGGAGCATTAGTAGAACCAAAAATATAACTTGCTATTTATTGGTCCAGAGGTTGACTTTTATGAATTTTGAGAAAGGACCAGGTTTGAGGCAATTCCTTTCATGATTTGTTAAGTCAGCCTAGTCATATCCAAAGAAGGCTGTAAACACATATAAACAGATTGTTATTTTTCTTGGTGGAGTGAAGAAAGGGCTTTTTTCTTTGTAGGAGTATGCCAGATTATTTAGGGGGGAAAATGAAAGGAAAAAATGTAAGGTGGTAGGAGCAGCTCTGTGAAATGAGGCTGGACTGGCATCGCTTGTTTGCCCATAAGACATATTTCTAGCAGTTATCTCCTTAAAGCTGGTCAGAGTTGTGAACATCTGTTCATTTCTATTCAGCTTGAGGACTGCGGTCTGTAAGGAAAAGGATCTGGGATGTCACAATGCATGCCAGGCGCCAGAGCTCCAAGGAGCCTTCCTAGCATGGAAATTACTCACGTTTCCTATGATCACGAAGCACCATGTGCTCAGCTAATTACTGTTCTCTGCGACTGCTGTCACATCTTGAAACTCTCCATGACCCAACTGTGGAAATCCTGTTTGCCTCCCACCCCCTCCCCCAAAGAATGAAAAGTAGCAAATTGCACGGCTGGGCTTGTTTAATGAATGCGATTTATTTTTGTTGAACCAAAGACACAAGAGGTTTCCGAGGCTGTTAGGTTGATGCTAGATTTGTGAATGACTTCGTGGTCCACATCTTTAGATAAGTTTAAGGTGGAGGGTGTCTGCCCGTTTACTAGATGATAGTCTGTACAAAGGCGTTTTCTTTATTTCCACAGGTTCCTGGAATAAAATGACCTTTAACAGTAGACAAGGTCATCCTGCTGACTTCAGGCAGAGCCTATCAGGTGTGGTGCAGACATCTGAGAATCATTTTAATAAGAATGTCCTCAAGATGCTGCCTCCTTCCTTTGTGACCCCTTCAGAATTCAGCTGTAGTCTTCCTGAGGTCTTAGTAACCCTAATGCTGTAACCTGAGGCTCTTTCTGGTTTTTCAGATAGAAATAGCAAGTTAGCTTGCACTCTATAGCAAATACAATTTTTGTTGCAATGCTTTTTCATTCATTCATTCATTAGAGCATTAAAAATGAAACAGTTTTGCCTTCGTGATGTTAAGGTAACTTTGATCACTCCCCCCTCAAAAAAAAAAAACTTAGTTTGTCAAGACAGATTGAACATTACTTTTACATAGTTTATAACAGGAGTTTGGTTTTCATGGAGGCATTGATTGGCTTGGGTATGGGTTTATCTGAGTGACTATGTGAATATATTAGTGAGTAGTAAGATACTATTACTTGGTCTTACAGGGGCGAAAAAGGCCTGAAAGCAGCTTGATTTTCTGGAGAAAGAAACTTCCTGAGCATGGCTAGTAATACTTCCTATCCATTTAGATGCAACTGCCGGATGATATTACCCAAAGTAATGAATGGTGACATATTAGTTAACATATTGCCATCGGCAGGTTTGAGCAAGGGTGAAGATGGCATATGCTAAAACAAATTATTATGCCCTAGAGAAATATGCAGAATTGTTTCTTAAAAGTCTTAATAATGCCTGCAATATGATTTTTTTTGCAAGAGATAAAACTGGGGGTACCACTGGAGAGATATAGACTAGAAAAACAAAACAAAACAAAAACAAAAGAGAGCAAAATTGATTCAACCATTTCCAGAAGCTTTTCCAGTTAAAAAACAACAACAAGAAAATTGTTGAATCCAAGCAGCACAGCCTGCCTGTCATATCAAAAATCATAGGAGAGACCCAGGCATCCTCATTCTTCCTTTGCACTCTTTTTTTTTTCCTTCTTCTCCTTTGTCCATTCTCGATCTGTCAAGGGATTCTAGGCCCAGGGCATAACTATGACAGATGGGCAGGAAACTGTAATCTGTTGCTGTCTTTCAATTTTGGAGGAATCATGGTGACCACGAAGGGGTTAAAACTGTCAACACGGATCAGAGCTTGGAGATAATTAGTGTAATATCAATCTCAGAACACTGGTGCAGATGACCACACAATAGCAGATGAATTCAACTAGGTTACTGTTTGTAAGAAATGCTTCTTCATCTCTTTCCAGTTCATGCACAACTATGCTTTTTAAATGCCTATGTGTTAAAGTTATGTGCATACAAATCATGATTAAAGATGATTGTGAATCTTTTTTTATTTTGGAAGGTACATTTTGAATTAGCACTTGTACAGACAAGCTGGATAGATATGTACCCTCTGAGCATGAGCTAGGTAGCCTTTGAAATGTTTAGCAGTATGTTGACTGTTACCTATGACTAAGGCTGCCAGAGTGTAGAATTCAGTGATGTGATTTCAGGAAGGCAAACTATTACAAGATATACTTTTATTTATTTATTGCGTTTTAACTTTCCTTTTCTTATAAGAAACACGAAGGGAAAGAGAAGTAGACCTTTTTTTTTTTTAAACAAAACATAGGCTTGAGAAGAATAAAATACATTTTTCTCTTATTAGCTTCAAAGAGAAAATTGATAGATAAAAAGCAGAGACTGAAAGCTGGTTTTCAGAAGTCCATGTGGTAACCAGAAAGGGACAAGTATGACTTAAAAATTGGAGCAGGAATCCATGATGGACTAGGGGAAGAATGGGTAAAGGAGAACTTAAATAACCCCGATATGTTCAAATCCACAGGTCCCAATGGCTGGCATCCTAGAGTTCTTAATGAATTGGCCGAAGTCATCACAGAACCGCTAGATATCATTTTTGAGAACTCGTGGAGGACTGATGAGGTGCCTGAAGACTGGAAAAGGGCATATTTAGAGCCTTCTTTCAAAAAGGGAAATGGATGATGACCCTGGAAATACTCATCAGCCTAACTTTTTGCTTGGAAAAATTCTGGAATAATCAACTTAGTACACTGGGTAACGAACTTATAATAGCTAGACAAAAGGCAGTGAAATATCACACATAAAGAAGTACTGAGTTCATTTTTTAAAGACACACCATTGTGAGATACAGTCTTCTACATATTTTGGGATTCTGCCCTCGGTACTATGAATTCTTGCTGCAAATAAGTGAGGTTGGCTAAGGCATTTGGGTACTGACTAATTTTAAGTGGTAATACAAGACAAAAAGATTTCTGGCAATAGCTAGAAATTACATCATTTCCAAATTAGCCTTTAAGTTGAGAATAGTCTTTTTTTTTTTTTTTTTTTGCGGTACGCGGGCCTCTCACTGCTGTGGCCTCTCCCGTTGTGGAGCACAGGCTCCGGACGTGCAGGCCCAGTGGCCATGGCTCACGGGCCTAGCCGCTGCGCAGCACGTGGGATCCTCCCGGACCGGGGCACGAACCCGCATCCCCTGCATCGGCAGGTGGACCCCCAACCACTGCGCCACCAGGGAAGCCCGAGAATAGTCATTTTAATTTTGTATTTTAACATATTTTTTCCCTTTATATAGGACTGTTTTCATAGGTGAAGTATTTTATATAATTCTCTATAGAATAGTTTGGTGAAGGAATTCTTATTTTAAGGTGCTTTATATAGTTATTTCATATGTAGGTACAATGATAAAGGTGACAAATTCAGGAACATCTGCAAAGGAAGAAACTTTTTTCTAACTTCTCTTTTTAAGTTTCATCTGGCTGAATTTGAGTGTTAGGACATGTAAGAGTGTCTTACTCTGATGTACATGGAGCAAGGGCCAGCTGTGTGACTGGATGGCCAGTTTTCCTCAGCCCTGGACACTGCCATGGCCCAGATTCCCTCCCCAGATTCTGATTTCAGGCCTTTGGTGGTGGTGGTGGGGGCAGAGAGGTGGGCCGTGGCAGTGGACATTAAGAGCCCTGTATAAACACAGCCAAAAAGGAGAGTAGAAGGAGGTGGGAGGAAGAAATTAAGATGAATCTGGAGTTCTTCTAATTCCTATTGTTTTTGCCTTTGGATGTTGGCAGTTTTCTTTTCTGCTTAGAAAATGCAGTCATGTTGACCAGACCCCAAACTTAGTTAAAAGGAGATCATCAGAAGAGATCTAGACATGCAACAAGCTCCACGGTCAGACAGATTCTGAGAGCAGCTAGGCAGTACTGTATTCCAGAATCTTCCCTGCACTACTTAGAAGTACAAAAGAGATTGAAGCTTACATCACATTGTAATGTTCAAGAGTAGGAACCCTCGGAGAAAAAGAGATAGATGTACATTCATTTCTTCCCGGTGCGTATGGGAATGGGTAGGCAGTTAAGGTCTCCAAGGGCTATTTTAATCACAATACTGCCTTAAAAATCTAAGGTTGACATAGTTTAGCTACTTCTAGAGATTAATTTAGATACCGGGTAAAGTCAGTCTCATTCTTAAGTACAAATGCAAGGAAATTAAGCTCTAAAAGCATGTATATGTTGTCTTTTAAACTACATGTTTAAAAAAATACTGCTTGCAGTTTTGTAAGAATTATACACCGATCAACCTTTCATCATTTTTTTTTCCCCAAGTGAGTCTTTATAATTTCCAAGTTAGGTTTTTTTTTTGGTTTTTGTTTTTTTTAACGAGTGGGGGGTCTCTATAAATTATAGATATAATTTATTGTGATAATAAATGGCTTCCTGTTCGAGACCTCATTTCCAGGTGCAGGATCTGTGGCAGATTTATTTCACAGATGTACATTTACATGCATTTGTTGAATTGTTGCTAGAGAGGACCCGATTTCTGAAAAATCTAGTATTTTCACTGTGGGCATTATGATGCAATCTACTGCAACCAAAAAGGGGGCTCTTTGGTCATTGCAAGTTTTATTTTCTATTTATATAATGTCTAGCTTCAATTATTTTGCCAAATTTAAATCTTCTCTTTGTGTTTGCTATTGGAATTTGAAAATAACAATCCTCTATCACAATCTAGAATGGTGAAATAGCCCATGGATTTTAAAGACTTCTTACCTAAAGCTAGAGGAAGAAAACTTTAAAATAAGCAGAGAAATATTAAAGGAAGCCCATTAATTCTTTTGCATTAAATGAAGATGAGTTAAGAGTTAGAATATAAGACATAAGAGAAAGGAAGTAATCTTACCATGAATTATATCTGGAGATAATTAAGCTTAAGAAGAGTAATTTTTTCATAGTGTTTTTTTCTTTTATCTAATATTCATGATATCGTTAATTTTTTAAGGTAAAGGAAATAGCGGAGGGACAAATAAATATATTATGAAAACTAGAGGATTATCTTGATTTGTATTTCCTAGAACATCAAGAGAGGTTAATTACAGACTTCTACTTCATAATATTGAGGAAATGGGAGGATTATAGCAACACTTTCTTCATTTCATCTTAAAACAAAATTTTTAAGGTGAGGAAAGAAAGATTTTACGCACATATTCTTGGCATAGGGAATGCATGATTCTAAGGGCTCTTTCCTCACAAAGGAATTTCCAGCAACATAGCATAGCTGTACTCAAGCAGTTTTTCAATCCAGAGAAATTTACAGCATCTTGGTGTTGTGAAATTAATAACAGAAACAATAAGCATTGAGTTTTTATTTTGGAGTTCCTCAGATCTGAGTTCAAATTCTAGAATCACGTTGATAGCTTTTTCCTGTCATGAATCTGTTAAGAACATAAGCTAAGAATGTAGCAAGAGAAATGATCTTGAACAATTATTAAACTCATCAAAGCTTTTTATCCTTGTCCATAAAATGGGAAGAATACATACCCTCCCTTAGTTCTTAAGAGGCTTAAGAATTCTGCAACATACACCCACACAGTTCTTGGCTCGGTGTTGACACGTAGTAGGTGCGCAGTGCCTGGCTCCCTTCCCTTCTTTTTTTCCTCTCATATGAAAGAGATTACCTTAAAACTGACTAGAACATTCAAGAATAAATTGACTCAAGCACAAATTGTCCTTATTGATGCCTTAAACCCACTGAATAAGGCCCTTTGCTTTCTTTTAGGAAGGATAAAGGAGAGCTACAGTGCCTGCCCATAGTAGGAGTCGAGTAAATGTTTATTGATCGAATGAAAAGAATGTGATTTTTAAAAACAATGAGCGAATAGCTAAGGCCAACATTTTTCAAGTCTGGGGAAATTGTCACATAGACACATATAAAGGTATTCTTTAAGTTGCCCCTTTTTAAAACCTCTTTAGATTTATAAATTTAGTGTGCAAATTAGGGACGGGCAGATATGCATTTCCTCTGATTTTATGACTGTGATTTACAAATTAAGAGTGCAAATGGGCATTCCCCCATAGCCTTTTCTGGGATAAATCCAGCCAAGACATGAAGCAGATGATGGTGCATGGCAAACTCTTTTCTATGCAAAGAGAAACCAGATGTGCAAGTGACTGGGATGCACCTGCCAGCAAACTGAGATAAGCCTGCCTGGAATGTCCTCTATGAAGAATCTGGGTGTTGTAAACAGGTCCTTTGCATGGGCATTGAACAGTAATAAAAAGGAAGGTTGAAGAAAATTAAATTCTTTGACAAAATGGTTCATTTTTACATGTAATATTTAATTACGTGTCAAAATATCATGTTCAGACAGGTGGAGGATTTCTGCATTTCAAAGTGAATAAGGAATAAAGAGTAGAAAAGTATATCCAGAGACATATGCAAGAAATGAGCAACAGCTACACCTCTAAAGTGGCCAGTTCGCCATTCAGACCAAGGGCAGGGTGACAGAATTCTTAGAAGAGACCAGCTGGCATCTTATGCTTAGAATAAAATCATCAGAGATGCTGTCTTAAATTAAACCAGATAAGTTGTGCAGAGCAAAGTGAATCAGCTAGGCTTTCTCTTCTAGAATTTTCGAATTTTATTCTTATTAGCAGTCTCAGTGGTCATCAATTAAGTATTCCTACATCAGATGTTTTATACTATCAGATTCTTTGATTAGAAAATCCTCTTCAGTTTTCTATTATTAATCTCTAAGGAGATAAAAATCTAATAACTTTCTACTTCATGATCACTATTTTAGATATTTCCATAAAAGGCAAAAAAAGAGATAGAATGGTAGTTCAGAAAATGGAACAACATAACTTTTTTTACGTATAAAAATATTTTGTTTTAAATTGTTTAAATTCCTGGAAATTAAGTTTTTAAAAAAATTTTTGTTGTTAAAATATAACTTTTAGAGGAAAATTGGAGGTTAAAGTCTACCTCAAGAACCTGGTGGTATTTTTTTTTGACAATTTGACGAAACTTTCTTCCACTGGAACAAAAGGAAAGAAGTCGACTATTAAACATTGTTTGAGATGAGAAATCCCTTTTATTAGGTGTATTCCGTATCATGTCCTTTGTCAGATGAATTTTCCCTGTTATTCCAAAAATGAAGTACTGTGTTGAATTTCTTGAGGGCAAAGTAGGATATTGATTGGGGCAAATGTTAGAAATTCTGTTGTTCACTGAAGCTGTTGCCCTGCTTGCTAAACTCGACACTATCCTGAGATACTCTATGGGTTACAAAAGCATTATTCTTTGAAAAGTTCTGACCGTACAAAAACATGTGCATGGACTTGAAGAATCACCTTGTGTCCATCTAAGTAGTAGAGCAGAGATTCATTCTAAATGAAAGTTGCCATGTGGTTTTGTGCATGTAACTGCAATTGACACCTTTTTCCTTTCAGTTACTTTTTTAAAAAGGGACTGTGTGAGAAGGCCCTTTGGAGAGCCGAATTGGAACAGCATTATGAACCCTGGACTGTGTGCTCGTGCAGCGCTGTAATTTGCAAACATATGTCCTCTGTTCAATAAACGTTACAGCTTTCACTGCGGTTTCCTCCTTGACTCTTTTGTGATCGT